TTTTTTTCTTGAAAAGATTGAACAGGAATCTCATATTATTTTATGCGTCACAGAGTTGGCTATTTGTTCTCAAATTTTCACGATTTATTACGAGTTCTACATCAGTCCGACCTTCAACTTTATGCACGACGACATTTACAATAACTTTTTCTGTATGTTTATTAACATTAAATGATTGCAAATAAAGTCACTTTTAATCAAAGAGATGCATTAATCTTATTTTTATCGCCCTAGGTTCTATTTGTATGTTCTTACTTGTTTCATTGTTTATACATACAATTAGATGTCAATGCAAGTTTGGAAAGGGTTTGAAATTTATTTGTATGTCAAAGGTTGCTCTCTGCTTTGTTTTATACTTCAGTGCAACAACTACAATATTTTCTTATTTCCAGTGAATTACGAACCAAAACCAAAAGAATTCGAGTATGGTGAAGACGAAGAGCTACAAAAGAAGGATGATGAGCACTTGCCAGAAGATAATAACTTCCTTTCACAATTTAAATAAGTTTCAACCAAATTTGTAAATGGTAATTTTCTCTTTTAGATACATTGTTGACGGCTGGTATGCTATTATTTTAAAGATCATTATTTGACACAAACCTTCGATAAGTTTATTTCAGCATAACACTTTAAAAATTTTATTTATCTAGTAATTAGTTGTAACTTAAAACCGAAGCAATTAATATAAAAATTTTACATGATATCATTTAAGTTTTTTATGTCTTTTTTTCCTTCAAAGGTCTGCAGGTTCGGTAACAGCAATAACTTTAGCACCCTGTCAACATTGAAATAAACATAATGTGACTATGCGGATTAACTTTATTTAGTACTGTCCAGAGCGTAGCTCTATCACTGCGTTCACTGACGTAGAGATATAGCATGTGATACTTGACAAATGAAATATCGTCTCTAGGAAACAATAGGTCACGATTTTCATCGAATCCGGATATTTTTCGGCATCAATCCAAAATTTATCGTTATGGATATTTTTTGGTATCAATTACAAAATTTATCGTTATTACAAAAGTTATAATCTTTTCTTTTTATACTTCCCGTTTAACATGCTCGTAATCTATGTTCGAGTATTTTATGGATCCATAATTTTCCGGGGCCACGGTTCCTTAACAAACTTTTGAATAGTCTTTTCATTCTTTTCAGCACTTAATTTTTTAACAGCAACTGTCAAGTCTAATCTTTTAATAGTTGCTTTAAATACTGTTCCAAATCCCCCTCTACCGACTTGTTTAAGATCAGAAAAATTCACTGCAGGTTTAAAAAAGGAGGTTGTTTAATTGTCACGCACCATGATCATTGAAAAAATAATTTTATATAAGTTTTTTATGTGCGACAATTAAACAACCTCCATCACTAGTTGTACATAAACAGCTTTGGACATTAGTTTGGATGTTTTGACAAAAAAATAAATTGTATTTACTTAAGATAATCATTTTTAATATTCTTAAGTAAAATGTTTAGAATTAAATGAAGTATATAATTATATATTTTTTATTTAAATATCTAAGGTTTAAACTTCCTGGACATTTGGACGCGTCAAAAAAGCCAACACTGCCTGGGGCAGTGTTGTACATTTTGCTGTCCCGCAGCTTTTTTGACCTCGGGACTAGAGTGTCCAGACTCATGCGATTTCAGGGTTTTTTCATTGTTTAAACAATGAAAAATCCCTGAAATCGCATGAGTCTGGACACTCTACTCGGGACGTAATTCGGTATAAT